GCATTTGCTGTGAAAGGTCAAGAACTGTAGTCTTCAGTGTGAATTGAAGCTTAACAGCAATAAGACAGAAAATTCACCACTCGACCAATTAGCAGTGCCATGATGGATAAGAAGAGATTGAGGCTGTTAACAATTTCAGCTTACTTGGCTCCACAATCCATAGAGGAATTGCATTGAGGGAATCTTCTGCCAGGCATTTCTTCAGAGTGCTATAGAGCAGTATTGTCAGTCTAGAGAGTAACGTTATGCCTAATCCAGGACATGGTCAACTCAGTTACTTGCTACGCATCAGAGAGCTCAATAATGACTAAAGATAACAGAAGAACAATCAGTGCCTTGAAGAGTATTGAACATACTCCAAGAGAAAAAAACAGGTCTGTATTGGAGAGGGTGAAGCTGAGTTTCTTCTTGGAGGCTAGGATTTTGAAGCTCCATCTCACGTACTTTGGGCATGCAGCCAGGACAGACCAGTCAGTCCTAAGAGAGGCCATCATGCTTGAAAGAGTACAAGAGGAAAGTACAGGAGAGGAAGACCCCAAATGAGATGGATTGATAGGGCAACTGAGGCAATGGGTTTAGATGTGTCAGAGTTAGTGAGACTGTCTTCGGATAGGGCAAAGTTCAGAGCTATTTTACATTGAGTCTGTGTGAATCATGGATGACTCAGTGACTCATGACAACAACAGCAACAGCAGCAGTACCTTTCACTCCCATGTTTATAGCCCTAAATGGTTCTTTAGTACAGCTTTGAAAATTTGTCTGCCTAATAAATCCAAAAAACTTAATCTTTCCTCTCAAATATGTCTGTGACTAAGGATGAAATACCTGACAAACTATCAGTCATTAATTTAAAGGCATTTCTGTGACTGTTGTTGCTGTGGACTGTTGAGTTGGAACCAACTCCTAGATGACCTTCCAGGGCTTTTTCAGGTACTGTAAATCACAGGAGAAGACTGCCTGCCCTTTGTCCCTCAGTGCAACCAATGAATTCACTTCACCTGGCTTTTGGTTAGCACTGCCACTCCTTACACATTAGGCCTCCAGATCTCCCTGTTTCTCTTAGATAATGTTAAAAGCAATCTAATTTTATTGGCATTACAGAAGTCCAGAATAAAAGCTGCATAGTAAAGTGATCTTGGCAGGAGGGGGTCTTGTGTAAAATGAAAGAACGTTTTCCTCAAAGAAAAAAGTGATCTGGGGGGTGGGGAGAGGGATAGGGAGGAAAATGTGCAACAATGAATGATTGGAAACCCAAATTCTTTATAAACTTTCATTAAAATATCAATAAAATATTTTTTAATTTTTTTTAACAATCTAATTTAAAGCCTGTGGTTTGTGTGCATTTGTATCCAGGTAGGTAGGTGCTGGAACCATTGTAGTTCATAGTGTTGATTTGAAAATTCAATTTTGTCAGGCTTCAGTATTAGAGAAATAACCTGAGTCAATCCAAATTGCATGAATGTGATGTTGAACTTCACCACTTTTCCCTGAGAAACAGACTATCATAACATTTGCTTGCCGAGGTCAGGATCAGAAATGAAAAGATGGTGTACTGGCTGCTTCTGACCAAACCATTTACCACCACCATGGTTTTCTGATTTCCCAGTAGAGTTGGGCACTGTGATTGATTGTCTTTTTACACACCTGAGCTCAAAGCAGCCTTGGGAGGGTCCTGTTACCCTTCCAGTTTTGTATGGAAGCACACTGATGCAGAGGTGGGAGAGTAATTTGCAGTTGACTTGGTTATCCACACAAAATGTTTCCTTTCAGAGGAGGAATAAGTTGATGATGTGGCCTACCATTGTAGAAATGGCTATCCCTGAGCCTTCAGGGCAAGAAGAAATCCCCAAAGCAGACCAAGGTGTTACTAAGAATTTTGTTCATTAGTTTAGTGACTGCCAAGTTCAGGACCTCCTCTAATGGTTGAACAGTGTTCCTGTCTCAGAGGATGTGAACAGAAGTGGTTTCTTATTCTTCACAAGTTCTTTTACTAGTTATTTCATTTCTTTCTGGGGAAATTAAAAACAAAAGCCCTATGATTCATGGCAACTCTCCGTGCATTATGTGTTTCGAAGTATATGTGGTCTATAGGGTTTTCATGGGCGAAATTTTCAGAGGTAGATAAGGTCTGTGCTGTGGATTTTTTGTTTTGTTGTTATGTTTTGGCAGGTTGAAACCAATTCTAGCATTGACCCTCCAGCAGGTTTTCATTTTTGCATGGGAGAAGATTGCCAGTCATTCTCCTTCAGAGCAGCTGCTGGATTCGAGCAACATGCCTCAGGGTTGGCATTGCAACTCTTTACCACTAGGCCACCAGGATTTGTGTTACTCACTTTTAGTGAATTGAATGTTTTTGCTACTGAGGGATTATTTTGGGGAAGAAGTCAAAGTAAAGTGAACACACTAAAGCTGACATCACACTGACACTTGTGGTAGTGTCATCCTGGTTTGCTAGCTTCTTTGACTTTCTTTGGCATAAGTCCAAGCCCCAGTCCTAAAATTTTATAGATTTTATGATCCTGATTAGTTTTCACAAACATTATGTTGTTCTTGATATTTGCCATCTAAACTGACCCATATCTGACCCTCTGACAGGTTTTCACAAAGGAGATTGCCCATCTTTCTCTGGTGGAGCAGCTGGTAGATTTTGAACTACATACCTTTGCATTGGCAGCCTAGCTCCTTACTACTAAGCCATAAGTCATTAAAACAAAATTTGAGACTCTAGTAATATTGCTAATACTCTTCTCAGATCTAGACTTTTGAGATAGAATAAGTTCTATTTTTTTTTTCTAAGTTGAGAAAAACAGTAGGAAATGGCACTGCTTTTCTTTTTCATTCACATTGTGTAGGTTGAGTTCTCACACATTCTGCAATCTTGTTTTACTGTTAACCGCTGTGGAGATGGCCCTTAATTCATGGTGAACCCATGCATGATAGGACTGGACTGATGTGGATGTCTGGAAACATGTGTCCATATCTGTGCTGATGTCTAGGGAGTTCAGTGGTGGATGTGTGGACGCATATGTTCAGGCCTGTGTTGGCAAACTCGTGTTAGTCTGGGAGCTGATAGGTAGGGAGGGCACTGGACAGTTGAGAGTTCTCTACTGAACCATCATAGCCCCAGAATTTGTCTAGGAGGTGTCACCTCTGCAGTTTCTTGAAATGTGTACTTCTCTATTTCTCCTGTGATGGTCTCTCAGCAAATAAGTTGGAGCTTCATAGCAATTACTTTTGAGTAGGATTATAAGGATTGATTTTCTTTTGTGATAGAAAGAGCTCCAAAAATTTGAACATTGTCCATGCTAAATCAATCTTAGGAGGTGACTTCACCTCTTGCACAGAACTTACTTGTTTTGAAGCAAAGACCTGAAATAGGACAGATTTGTGAGTTAGACTTATTTTTAATTAAATAAAAGAAATTTACTACTTTCTAAAGAGGTATGAAAGCCTGAGGTTTGTTGGGGGTGGGGGATCTCTTTACTAGTGGTGAATTCTCACTGTTCCCACATGTAAATTTAGAAAACTGGATTTTCTTTCTGCCACACTCAGAGTACCATCTGAATTTAAAAAAAACAACAAAAAACAAACCAAGAAAACCAAACACCACCACAACAGTTTTAAAAGGTGCATTGTAGGGGTTTTTAATAAATTCAAAATGAAAGACAAGAAAGGAGCAAGTGAGGAAATTCTTAACCCCCATATTTCAACTTCCTTTCTTTTGTACTGAGAGAAAATTCATTATCTGATCTTTGATTTCATTTATTTCTGGGTCTGAGCTGTGCCGTTAGTGGAACTGGCTTCTACCAAGATTATTTTCTGACAGGCTGATGGGGCCAGAGGCCTGGCCGTCAGCGCCTGTTCACTCTGGGAGGGGCATGAGGAGAAAACGCCTTCCCTGCCTTTTCATTTCACTCCTAAGCCAGTGGCATAAGAGGAATCTGCTGTTCTTGGTAGATCTGTCTCCATCATGGCCTTTCCCTTTTATGACTTTCCCCTCTTGTGTGGAAAAAAATGGAGACCACAAGTAGTCAGCCTGTTCTAGCCAGTTCACTGGGTTATCTATACAAAACATTTCCTGTCAAAGCTGTAACAAATTGGTGAGGAAGCTTACCAGTCCAGAAATGGCTGTTCTAGAGGCTTCAGGGTGAAAAGGAACCCTCAAAGGAAGATCAGGATGCTGTTAAGAGTTTTGTTCATTAGTTCAATGCTTATATTCCAGCCATCATTATCTTGGTCAAAACCTCAGTCTTTTCCAACTTTCCAAACCCAGGAGTATACGTGGATACTGTTTGCTCACTGAACCTGGATACCCCACGAAAAGCTAGAGAGGGCAGAAAACAGATACTAAGTGCTGTCTCAGAGAGGAGGGAGCAGCAGCAGCATCGCCACAGCAGCAGGCAGCCCCTAACACTGGTCCCACTCAACCAGAAACCCTTGGAGGTGCAGAATGTGAGGGGATGGTGTCTGACATCACATTTCTCAAAGACTTTCGTGTCTCCATCCTTTCTTTGTGGAAAACTCTGCCATGTAAATGATCAGACTTTCAGACCAGATTATTTGGGGATTGTATTCTTTCTTTTGATATATCTAAGTATAGCACCTTATTGTCAAGAGATAAGTTTTAAATGATGGTTAATATGCTGTGGTCAAATGGAAAATAAATTGCAGTTGCCACTTTAAGTGCAAATGCCTATTTTTTGGATTTTTTTTTAAGAGGTTTTTTTTTTTTAAGAGGTTGATGGTTATTTTTCTTCAGAGTTCTGTGGTGAAATTTCTCAAAGGTCCATTTTCTCTGCCCAGATAATTGCCTAGTAGCATGCTACCTGCATTATGTGACCATGGTCTTAACATACTAATAATAGAAATGAATATGCTGTAATTTTTTACAAAGATTTATTGAGTTCCTTTCAGTTCTTTTTTTTCCTTGCAGAAAACCTGTGTTTATGGCATTGTTTGTCTCTTGCATACATGTCATGTCTGGTTTTCTTTTTACCCAGGCCTTCTGCTTTATCTAGTAGCCCAACATACTCGGACCTCCCCTTCATTAGGATCTCCCCCCACCGGAACCCCACTGCAGCTTCTGAGTCCCCCTTCACGCCGCCACACCCCTACATCAACCCCTACATGGACTACATCCGGTCTCTGCACAGCAGCCCATCCCTATCCATGATCTCCGCAGCACGAGGGCTGAGCCCCACTGATGGTAAGTCTCAGGCTGATTCTGTTTCCAGAGATTGTATCACCTCTTGTTGCCTTACTCGCCTTACCTGGGACATTGTCTAAAGTCAGTCTAAAGTGTAACGTGTATTTGCCACAAACTTTCCTGAAAGAACAACTTTCCAATCACAGGATCTCTATGAGCTGTTGTCAACTCAGCAACAACAGTGCACACTATAAATGCATTCTTTTTATTTTAACACAATTTCTCTCTTTGGATAGTGAAGTCCCTTTGTGGCACAGATACATAACACATTCATTTAGCTACAAGATTAACGATTCAGATCCACTCAATGGCATTGCAGAAGAAAAGTCCTAGTGGCCTCCTTTCGTAAGCATTACAGCCAAAAAAATCCCATAGAACAGGTCTGCTCAGTAATGATGGGTTTCCATGATGAGAGCTTACTTGATGGAAACTAAAAATAGCATAAGCTGTGATGGTGTAAAGTTAATGCACTTAACTGCTAAAAGGTTAACAGTTCAAGACCATCCAGAGGACATGTCTGGCAGTCTATTCCCAGAATATCAGTTCCTGAACACCTCCTCACCCTCCGGAGCACAGTTTTACTCTGAGACATACACGGGACCACCGTGAGTGAGGGAGTAGTAGCAAGTTGTATGGAAAATGGTTAGTCTTATTTCCCCTTTCAGTTGAGGATAGCAGTTTTACAGAGAGACCAGGTGACTCACTATCTGATTGTCCCATGGCTGGACATTAATAGGATGCACTCAGCTAGATCTCCCTGACTCCACAGCCTTCGCTCTTAACCACTTTTCCATGTATTACCCTTGTCTTGAGACCATGACTATCACTGCTCACACATTGTTTGTGTATAATATGAGTATTCTATTCAGTTTCTGATGAACATTTATTTATTTATTTTATTTTAATTTTTTTTTTTATGATTGCAAAGCACATTGATCCACGTGTCTGTTAGAACAGTTGTGAGCCCTGGTGGCCTACTCTTTCCAGGTGGAGCTGTAGAATCCCAGACTGTCAGATTCTAAACTTTGAATCAGAAAAAGTATTTCCCATCTCTTGTGCACATTCAAAAGTACATTGTCCTGCAGTTGTGAGAAAGTGAATTGAGGCTCTGCACTATATAAACCTTATTAATTGTAGAAATCTGGTTATGAGTTCTGTGCAATAGATGACATGACTGCTCCTTATTTCACAGCAAAGAGAAATAGCCATGTGCTTGGTTTTTCTGAGCAGCATGTTTAATGGGAGCTTGGTGCACTGTCCATATTCTCCACATAAATAGTCCCTAAGGCTGGTTAGCATTGTGGGAAAGCTTCTTGAAGTTTCTCAGTAAACTGAATGGTACTTCCAGGAATAGCTCTCCTCAATCATCAGCCTCTGGCTCATTTTTAAATTCTAATTCAGAGCTGTGAATATACTTGTACCTATGTAATATATTTTGCTATTTGAACAAGATGCACATTTTTAAACATAAAACAAAGCTAGTTGTTCTGCTTTGGCTTTGATTTCACAGTGGGAGAAATGAAGTATTTTGCCCACAGAGGGATTGGGATTCATGAAGATGATTAACAGAGGCAACAGTGAGCAGGCAGGGAGGCCAGCTAACAGGGGATTTGAAATTACTGGCTCCAGAGATTTAATTGGGCCAGTGGAAGGTGGTACCTTTTGTCAAAAGTATTGAAAAGCATGATCGTAATCTCCTTTCAACAGCATTAGATGGCAGTTGAGTCAGTCAGTATCTGATCAATTAATCTGCCTCACGATTAATACCCAGTTGTTAATGTCAGTAACATTTTTCTCTGAGTCTAAGATTTCTTTTTCTCCGACTTTACCCTGTATGTTCTCTGTGTGTGTGTGTGTGTGTGTGTATGTGTGTGTGTGTGTATATATATATATATATGTATATATATATATTGTAAAACATTTATGTTTCTATTGTAAAAGGTCTATGTTTCTACATAATGAGGTAAGCTTTTACTGATTATATATACTAAACACTTTATGAGAAAGTCCTGGTGATACAGTGGTTAAACACTGGCTGTAAATGGAAGTCAGAAGTTTGAACATACCTGTAGCTCTGAGGGAAAGACTTGATGATGCACCCTTGTAAAGATTTATTGACTAGGAAATTCTACAGTCCAGATATGCTTATTCCTATAGGGTTTGCCTGAGGCAGAATTGATATAGCAGCACACAATGTAAAAAAAGTACTTTATGTGTATTATTTTATGTATTACCCTGAACAAATTAATGCAACTGGCAAGTGGTGTGACTGGGATTTGAACCCAGACCTTCCTGAATCTGGAGGTTACCTTCGGAATTGCAGTAATATCTTCTTGCTTTTATACATAAACTGACAGGTGGAAATAAATTATTATCCCACTTCCTAATATTAATTCTTGCCAGTAAATTGCCCAGATTATTAAGTATGCTTTTTTTTAAAACTGGGAATAAAAATTACAAAGTAAAAGTTCTTCAATTGCGGAAAACACAACTGAAGCGTCTCATTCAGCAGCATGTTATCAAAGCTATGCCACATTTTTCCATTTCTAAATCAGGATCATCATATTACCGTGAGTTAACTCAAAGCCTTTTCAGCAAGCTACACTTCTTACCCTCTAGCAGAGACAGTAAATCACATGGGAGGAGATTACTCCTTCTTCCCAAAACAACTGTGTGCCTTTGGGATTGCAATGCAGCTTCTTACCACTGGACCATCAGAGCTAAATAGAACATCAAAATCCATACCACAGGAATCATGACCATAGCTAAACCAAGAAATAGTGAACTAGGTGGCTAGAAAGTTGAGGACAGCTGAGACAGACTGGTAGCAGAGACAGAATGGATGATCATATTAAAGCTATAGTATTAATTATCCAGCAAATCATCTGTCCAGGAAATAATCATAGAATAATTGAATGTCACTCAAGCAGGGTACAGGGTAAAGAGTATCATGAGTAAGTCAGGAGAATGAGCGTCTGTCCTGTTTGCCTGTGCAATATAACGTCTTCATACCCTTGTTTTCTGGAGAGTTTATAACTTGGTGTCCCCCTAATAATAATTAAGGAAAGACATCTGCAGCAAGGACAGTCAGTTGTAAACTGTGTTGGAAACTTTGATTTCTTTATCACACTTCTAATTGATCTCAAAACACCAAATTTCCAGCTCAATGGAGTCTCCCTATAGACGGGACAGTTATGGAAGTATATTTAGTGATGGTAGTGGCAAGAAGCTGCACTGCAATCCCGAAGGCATATGGTTCAAGGTCACTAGCTGCTCCATGGAAGAAGGATGGGCAGAGGGTCTGCTCTAAGTCGAGTCTGACTATTAAACTACTAGTTTAGGGGACGTATTTGAAGCATATCTAGAAAGACTGGGGTCATCTACCCTCATAAGAAATATGAACATTGTTGTTGTTGTTGTTGTTGTTATGTGCCGTCGAGTCCTTTGCGACTCATAGCGACCCTATGCACAACAACCCTAAACCCTGCTCTATCCTGCGCCAACCGCACCGCCTCTGACACACCCATCCCGATTACCCCAGTCACCGAGTCAGTCCATCTCATAGAGGGTCTTCCCCTCCTGCACCGTCCCTCCACCCTCCCAAGCATCATGTCCCTCTCCAAGGACCCGTCCCTCCTGGCAACATGTCCAAAGTATGTCAGACGAAGCCCCAGAATCCTTGCCTCCAAGGAGTTGCTTGATTTAATCCTCTCCAAGATGAATCTGTTTGTTTTCCTGGCAGTCCATGTTACATTCAGTACTCTTCTGCAGCACCACAGCTCAAAAGCATCCACTCTCCTTCTGTCCTCCCTAGTCATTGTCCAACTGTGATGCATAACAAGCGATTGCAAAGACCATGGCCTGTATCAGGCGCACCTTAGTCTCCAGAGAGACACGTTGCTCCTGAGTACTTTAGAGAGGTCCCTAACAGTAGTCCTTCCCATCGCGATATGCTTTTTGATTTCCTGACTGCTGGTGCCAAGAGTGTTGACTGTGGAGCCGAGCAAACTGAAGCTGTGAACAATCTCTATCTCTTCTCCATCCATCCTGACGCTGCCAATTGGTCCAGTGGTGAGAATCTTTGTCTTCTTGATGTTGAGCCTCAGTCCATACTGACGGCTGCAGTTCTTGACCCTTCGCAGCAAGTGCACGAGGTCCTCCTCAGTTTTAGCAAGCAGGGTTGTGTCATCTGCATAACGCAGATTGTTAATAGATCTTCCACCAATCCTGATACCACAATTCTCCTCATGGAGCCCAGCTTCTCGGATAATCTGCTCTGCATACATGTTGAAAAGGTATGGAGACAGGATGCATCCCTGGTGTACACCCTTCCCAATTTTGAACCATGCAGTGTTACCCTGCTCTGTTCTGATTACTGCCTCTTGGTCCAAGTACAGGTTTTGCATTAGCACAATTAAATGTTCTGGGATTCCCATTCTTCTCAGAGTCAGCCACAGTTTGTTATGATCCACACAGTCAAATGCCTTTGCACAATCAATGAAACATGGATAGACATTCTTCTGGTATTCTCTTCTTTCAGCCAAGATCCGTCTAACATCAGCAACAATATCCATAGAACCATGACCCCTTCTAAACCCAACCTGGACTTCCAGCAATTCTCTGCTGATATGTTGTTCTAATCATTTTTGGATACAGTGACTTAATAAAACAATTTCTTTTGTGGGAGAGGTGGACTCAGTTCAGCCCCTTGCCATTAAGTTGGAACTGACTCATAACTTGACCCTCCAGTGGGTTTTCAGTAGCAGTAAATCACAAGGAAAGGAGATTGCTCCCACAGAGCAGATGGTGGATTTAAACCACCTGCCTTTGAGTTGGCAATGCAGTCCTTTACCTACTAAGCCACTAGATAGAGCTTATGGAATATATACACGTTAATAATTTTAAATATTTTTTAAGTGAAGGAATATATACACGTTAATAATTTTAAATATTTTTTAAGTGAACATGAAAAAATTAGTAATGTATTCTAGTTTTGAAATTTCTTTTTCCTAGTTCTGTTTTCAGATAAATATTGTCCAGTAGGCTTCAGTGAAATCACAATTAGAATTTTAGGAAGCTTTCTTGTCAGGAGCTGGAAAAGAAGAGCTGATGTGGTTAAATGACATTCAGATTTAGGGGGAGGGGTGTGAAGAGAAATCTTCTTGCAGTTAGTTAACTGTAACTTTTGTCTCCTTCTAGCCCCACATGCAGGAGTCAGCCCTGCAGAGTACTATCACCAGATGGCTTTGCTGACGGGTCAGCGCAGCCCCTATGCGGACATCATTCCATCAGCTGCCACCACTGGAGCCGGGGCCATCCACATGGAGTACCTCCACGCCATGGATAGTAAGTCAGGGAAGGTTTTCTCCAGTCATTGTGGTGTCAAATGCTATGTCATACAACTGAAAGAAGTTACAGCAATGGGCTGACTATCTAACCTTCACATTAGAGAAAGAGCAGAACTGTCAATATCCAGCCCTCAGGTAACAAATTCCCTTCACTTTCTAGGAAGCTTCCACAATTTATCCTTTCTAGAACTCCCTAGTTCAAGGATACTCTTTAGCAGCTATATACAAATTGTAAAGCAACTATCCTGTTCTGTTGTCTTGAAGCAAAAACAAACAAAAAATTAATTAGATAATCGGTGATTTAAGATAAAGACCCATACTTGAAACAAAAAACCCAGCTTTTTTTTTTTTAAAGACCTGTACTTGGCTATATTATTTCTGTTGAATATTGTATTTTTTTACCTCACATGCTTCCATTTTATTAAAAGATGATATTTTAAATAGAGGCCATGGCACTAGGGATATTATAGCTAATGTCAGGTGGTTATTGGCTGAAAGCAGAGAGTACCAGAGGAATGTCTGTCTGTGTTCCATTGACTATGCAAAGGCATTTGACTGTGTGGATCACAACAAACTGTGGCTGACTTTGAGAAGAAAGGGAATCCTGGAACACTTGATTGTGCTTATGCAAAACCTATACTTGTACCAGAAGGCAGTCGTCAGAACAGAGCAAGAAAACGCTGCATGGTTCAAAATTGGGACCTGTGTGTGTCAAGGATGTGTCCTATCTCCATATCTTTTCAGTCTATATGCAGAACAGATTATCCGGGAGGCTGGGCTCTATGAGGAGAAGTATGACATCAGGATTGAAGATAGACTCATTAACAATCTGCATTATGCAGATGACACAACCCTGCTTGCAGAAACTGAGCAGGACCTGAAGCACTTGCTGCAGAAGGTCAAGGACTGCAGCCTTCAATATGAATTGAAGCTCAACATCAAGAAAACAAAGATTCTCACCCTTGGGCTAATTGGCAGCATCATGATAGATGGTGAAGAGATTGATATTGTTGACAGCTTCAGTTTGCCTGTCTCTACAATCAACACTCATGGTACCAGCAGCCAGGAAATTAAAAGATGAATTGCATTGGGAACGTCTGCTGTCAGAGACCTCTCCAAAATACTGAAGAACAGCAATGTCAGTCTGGAGACTAAGGTGTGCCTGATACAGGCCATGGTCTTTGCAGTTACTTGCTGTGCATCAGAAAGTCAGACAAATGACTAGGGATGAAAGGAGAATTGATGCCTGTGAGCAGTTGTGCTGGAGAAGAGTATTCGATATACCATGAACTTCTAGGAAACAAGGTCGTCCTGGAGAGGGTGAAGCCAGGTTGCTCCTTGAAGGCAAGGATTCTGAAGCTTCGTCTGACATACTTTGGACATGTTGCAAGGTGGGATCAGTCCTTGGAGAGGGATGTCATGCTTGCGAGGATGGAGGGACAGTGCCAGAGAAGAAGACCCTTGAGGAGATGAATGGATTTAGTCACTGGAATAATGGGAGTAGGCATGTTGGAGACAATAAGATTGACTAGGGATAGAGCAAGGTTTAGGGCTGTTGTGCATAGGGTAGCTATGAGTCGCAGGTGATTCTTCTGCACATAACAACACCGACAACATTTTAAATGTGACTTTTTATTACTAGTGCATACATGAGAGATTCAGAATAGTTATAACCAGGGGATAAAAGCAAAACAAAACAAAAGGTTATAAATAAGAAGATTCTAATTTTATTTTAACATAAAACAGTGATAAAAAATATAGAATTATTTAATGTGTTATAGGTCACTGACTTTGGAGTCCCTCAAGACTTGTATTCAGGGGGAGAATTCTCATGTTTGTGTCAGGAACCCAGCCAGGCTCAGTCCCATGCCAGTGCCCTTTGTCCATGGAGGCTTAGATGATGCTGAACAGATTTCATCAGAATTTCCAGTTTAAGATGATAGAACAACTAGGAAGAAAGTCAGGGAGCTCTGGTACAGCCTAGTGGTAAAATGTTAAGCTGCCAACACAAAGGCAAGAGTTTTATATCCACCAGCTGCTCTCAGCAGTCTCAGCCTGTGTGATTTTCAGCCTCTGAAAAGCCATTGGAGTTTCAGCTGTGAGTTGATTCTGACTTGACAGAAAACACCACCAATGGGAAGAAAATCTTGACAGTCTACTTCTTAAAATTGTTGTTATTATATATTACTGTCAAGTAGAATTGCTTGCCTTTCTATTGGAAGTGCAGTTCTTACTCACTAGATCACAAATGCTGCTTTCTTTAAAAGAAAAGACCAACAACAAAAATGAACAAATAAAAAACGGTTGTTGTTAGGTGCTGTTGAGTCAAATATGATTCACAGTGACCTGGTGAACAACAGATCTGAACCCTGTACCATCCAGCCTCACAATCTGTGACACACTCAAGCCTGTTTCACTATGTTAGTGCATCTGGTTGAGGATCTTTCTCTCCTTGGCTGACCCTCCTCCTTTCCATGCATGATGTCACTCTCCAAGGAATAACCTCTCCTAGTAATAAGCTCAAAGTATAGCTTCATCATCATTGCCTGCAAGGAGCACTCTGGGTGCACCTTCTCCAGGACATATCTGTTTGTTCTTTTGACACTCCTCGGGATATTCAGCACTCTTGGCAAGAAGCTGTACTGCAATCCCAAAGGTACACGGTTCGAATCCACCAGATGCTCTGCCAGAGAAGGAGGGACCATTTCCTTCTGTACCAGTCAGATCTGATTTGACAGTACATGCACATAAAATAACAAAATCATATTTTAAAGCATCAATTTTGTCTATCACCCATGTACATAGCAAGTGACTTAGAAGACCATGGCCTGAATCAGATGCACCTTAGTCCTCAAACTAACATCATTGCTCCTCAATAGTTTATGGAGATGTCCCTGACTACAGAATTTCTCAATGCATTTTGTTTTCTGATCTCCTGACTGGTGTTATATTGATTGTAGATCCAAGTAAGACGAGGTTGTTGACAGTTAAAATTATTTGGATCACAATGGCCCAATTCACAACAGATAATGGAAGTAGTGCAGAATCAGGCACTTTTTCTTTCTTCATTCCTTCTGTAGTGCATGAGACTGACCATGGCTACCAACAAGTCTTATTAATTATTTTAAGTCACTTATTTAAATGGATAGACCATTTAGCCTATGACCCTAGCTTTACAGAGCACCTCAGAGTTCTTACTTGTTAAGATTTTTAAAACAGACATTTGTGTGCATGTTACTAGAAAGTTATAAATCAGTGAAAGCCCACTTGCCTTAGACTGCAAACAATGTGACTTTGAGTAGGGCTTCTGCTTTAGATTTTGTTTTTCCTAGTAGCCAAGATCAACTTGTGCATTTTCATACAAATTTTGTTGATTGGATTGTGTTTGGGTTTTTATATATATGTATGTTTTTTTTTTCTAAGTTTATAATG